TATATATATTATATATATATATATATAGATATATAATATATACCTACATATATATATATAAAGCGTAAATGAAACCTCGTTTAAATGGGAAATTTAAGGTGTTATATAGACTTGAGCAAGAAATTAAATTTAAAACACACAAATTTTATGGAAAAGTCTGATACAACAATGTAGACTAAAAAGCACTGCCATTGGGTAGAATTAAGCAAGAGTGAATGTTAGCGACGGAGGTGACTACTGGTTTGTTCGTTTGCACAGAGTTAACAAAAATACCGACGCGCATACACATACATGCGAGCATTGCAGGAGAATGTAACGATTCGAAAGGCTATATTCAACTATGCTTGCACTGCTGCACAGATAGCTTCATATTGGTATTGTATTGCCAGGGCCAGTTTCAATTGAACAAGCGCTCTGCATGTGTTGTAGCATTCGCGTTTGTACCTTAAATACAAATCTTCATATCGGAACAGTTTCCACAATCTAAATCACTTTATATACGCAAATCAACTTTTGCATAACGTAATCATATTCTTCTGTGGTACATAGATTTATCATTTGACCGTGTACCGGTGCAATCAAGGGGCCAAGATACTAACGTATTGTATCTATAAGGAATCCCTACACAATACTTGAGTGAAACACACATGTGCGTACCTCGGATTCACAAGCTACCTACCAAAGTTAACAAGCATATTGGCCTTTGTGTCAGGTGACGTTTGTATGGGCTGCTGTCGTTTGGTATGTATATGTATCTATCAGGAGTACGTACAACATAGTGACCATTTTTCTAACGATTCTTATCGTTATCATCAACATCAACAACTGCTCCCCAAATTTGAAAATCCAGAGTTCAGAGTTCAAATTCCAGACCCCCCAGAAAATATTTTCGTAGGGCGCCCCATAAATACTGTATTGTAGAAGCCTACGATCAACGATGCGGCAAACTTTTAAATTTATTAGTAAGATATTATACATATACATATTTGTACAAATACAATGAAGACAACACGGTCTTCACAAGCGCATGATTGAAAGCAGACGAATTTAGATATATACCGAACAAACAAGAATCTGTCACACGAGCGAGGGCTGTTATGGGGACGCCAAGCCGATCGGCTGTTGTCGGCAACGATCTTGCAGTCGTGGTTGCGAATTCGGCAGGGACAAACCCAAAGAAAGAGGAACACGCCAAAGGAACTGTAGGCCACCTCTTAGTAACTACAAATGATAAGTACACGACCACAGAGAAGCGGGTGGCAAGGCGGAAGGTGAGATCTAGTGCTGGTGGGATCAGGTGTAACTGCTTTAATGCTATGAACTTTGTCTCCAGATATGCTTACAGGTGTATTATAATATGTAAGTGTTGTTGTCCTCAATTCCGTATACGTTTGACAATCTACCATTATTATCCACGTATATTTGAATTTCCTTATGTTCTATTACACACACAAACACACACAAACACACACAAATACACACACACACACACACACACA